GTGTAGGGCTAAGGGTTTAGAGTCTGAACTCCTTGAAGGGGGGTTATGAGCTATAGTCTAAACTCCTTGGGGAGGGTTATATGGGGGATTATATAGGGTTTACGGGTTTAGGGTCTAAACTCTTTCAAGGGGAGGTTTATATGGGGGATTATGTAGGGGAGCGCTATTGGGCTTTGAAGGGGGATACTAGGAGTTTAGACTATAGCTCATAGGTCGAACATTATAGTACCCATAACATATCATAAATTCCTACATATTCTTATATACTTATATTCACACACATATATTCATATTGGGGGGCGCATGATTATTTGTTATCTAAGGGGGAAGGGGGTGCTCGTTCTAACCTTGATGGCGCTGGCTGCTCCAGGTCTACGGCTTTGTGCAGCTGTGTTCGAATGTGGGTCTGATGGCATCGGGCTGAGCTCCACCAGAGGGTTCAGTTCAGTGTCTTTGGGGTTTCGAGCATCAGAGAATTAGGCTTTAGAGCAATAATCCCTAAACCCTAAACCCTAATAGTAGAAGAAGGTTAAGGGCTTAAGGAAGCAGGTAGAAGGCTGCTTCGTGCTAAAGCCTAAACCCCAAACTCTGCGCCTTCAATCGCAAGCCCAGAAGCCGACATCTCAAACCCTAAGCCCTTAATCCTGAACTCTAAGCCCAATAAACATCTGTACAATGGTTTTAAAGTTTTAGGGTTTATATGGGGTTATATAGGGAAGATGGAGAAGGAAATGGAAGCCACTATGGGGTTATATAGGGATGATGGAAGAGAAAATGGAAGCTGCTATTTAGGGATCCCAACGTCCATTTTCCTTTAATTGAATTCTCTGAATTCTTGTCAGGCGGGTGGCCTCATCGGCACTCCTCTTTCCACACAGCTGGTTTGGGGCTGGCAGGCTGTGGTTCTGGAGATCATGTACGGGTTATTTGCGATTGAATGGGGATGTTATGGAATGCACGGTGCTAAAATACTATTATACTAACGTATAATACTATTATACTATTATATTATTACACTATTGCACTGTTATACTATACTACCTTAATACTATAATAGTAATTTCCTACATTAATTACTATAATACTATTATATACTATAATACTTTACCACTACAGAAACTCCAGGGCCTGCAGCGAATGTGGCAACTGCAGGGCTGGCGAATTTCCTTCATCGGCATCGGGTCGCTGTCTGTTTTGGTTGGCCTGTTCGCCGTGCTCTCCTCAGCGTAGTGTCATGTTGCTGGACTTTACTGAAGGGAAAGGGAACCAACAATGAAAAGCGAAGTAACATAGGCCCAGAAAAGAGGCTTCCAGCAAGGTGCGCACTTTATAATTAAGGGTCGATGGTAATAGTGTACTGGGGTTATATGGGGACAATGGAAAAGAAAACGGAAAGTACTATAATGGGTTATATATGGGTTATATAGGGATTATGGAAAAGAAAATGGAAACTAGTCTTGCTTTTGAAATCGCGACCCCTACAACCGCGTCCCCATTGCACGTACTGGTCGTTTCAAGAATCCTCCGTGTCTATTGAGGCCTTCACAATGACAGAGCCCGAGCGCGAGAACTCTGGGAAGGGAGCGAAGGCTTGATCACTGCTTCTGTGTTGAGGAGAGTGGCATATGGATGCTGTATATACAAATATGCACGGAGGGATACAGATCGGAGAGAGAGAGAGAGAGATATTTATATATGTTAAGTATATGTATATATATATATATGATGGACAGGGAGGGCGGCAGTTTGGGAGGGAGAGCGAGAGAGAGGAATGTGCTTCCAGCCTCCTTAGTTAATAGACCGCGTGAACAGACGCATCCCGGCTGGAGGAGTAGCCCCCACAAAGGCTTCGTGCCTCGCATAGAGTATGAAGTTGAAGGTGGATTTCACAAAATCCTGGCCAGCTTGTCTGCGGCCCCTAGCGACAGAATCTCATCATTGAAAGATGAAGCACATGACTTCAATTTTCAGAAGCTCCCACTTCTCTCCCCCATGTTGTCAGAGATTGAATGCTTTCCCCCTCCACTGCACATGCACAACCTGGAGGAGCGCGGCGCTTTGAGGCCACCAGCGGAGAGACATGCGATAGCTGTGAGTTTTGGGCATTGCGCGCAGCTGAAACATGGTGATGCCCTGAGGCAGGAACTTGGAAAGCTGTTGAGCTACTTCCGTATGCCAACCTTCTGTGCTGGAGCCTGAGAACCGATACAAAAGCAAGATGAACTCCTGCAGTGCGGCTGATGTGCAAACCCTGTATGGCCCTGAACATTGTAGTGCCTCTTTTCAAGGGATTTGGATAGAAAGGGTCACGCTAGCGGCGTTCTGCGGACCAGGCTTGCGCGCAGGCGACAGAGTCATATAGCACTCGCTTGATAATCAACCTTGGTGACTTGCTTTTGCTAGCGAGATCCATCAACTGGTTGTCTGTTGAACATCGATTTCTTGAAGGTCTTGGCATCGTATGAGGGCTTGTTCGGATGCTCCGCTTTTGCATGTCCAAAGCAAGGCCCCGGTTCATCCCCGTAGAATCCTCATACATCTTTGGAATATCTTTTGATATAAGCCATCCTGAGGCCTGAAATCGAATCCCTTCACCTTGAATTCCCCATACCCCCCCCTCCTTTCAAGGGCCCTTACCCTACTTGAAGAGTTCCCCCACCCTAAACCCTAAACCCCTAAACCCTAAACCCTAAACCCTAAACCCTAGCCCTGAAAAGCATGCAGGGCTTGTGCAAGCTGCTGAAACCTAAGGCCTTGATCTTCCAAGGATGGCCGGGTGCTGAAAGAAGGGGAGGGGGGTTAAGGTCTAGGGCTTTAGGGTTTAGGCTTTAGGGTTGGGGTTTAGGGTTTAGGGTTTAGGGTTTAGGGTTCAGGGGCGGGGAGGTGTAGGGTTGGGCTTAGGGTTCAGGATGATACTCGTAGGTATGAATAGAGTTCTAGGGCCTCATCGGGAGTCTGGTTTAGGCTTGGATCTAGGGTTGCAGGGTTGGGACAGGTCAGGTTTCCAGTGCTGCTTGAGGGTTCCTGGGTTATTATTAGAGAGGATGTGTGTGTATATTACATATATATATATGTATATACATACTGTTATATACGTATATCTATAACTGTATATATACATACATGTGAGTAGTCTTCTTTTTGCGCCCGTGCGAGGTTCGGTAGCATTCCATGGAATGCCATGGGCTACTCCACCCTCTTCTATCAGGTTGGAGGAATTGGCGATGTCATGGACTCAGAGACTTGCGTTAGATGCTTATGAGCTATCTCCCTATGGGTTCCTACCTAAACCCCAAGCCCATAGGGGGTTTAGGGTTTAGGGTTTAGGGTATGTATGTCCACACCATATTTTTCCTTTATCTTGAAGGTAGGGCCCCCCCACATACCCCAAATACAGAACAATAATCCCCATTATTAAGACTCCCAAAAAAGGACGCATGATTTGTTGGGAACCCCCATGTCCCTAAAGCCTAACTCTTAGCCCCAAACCTCAACTTTAAAAGCCTACGAAGCCTATACAATATGGTAGTTTCCATTTACCCTACATTATATCTCTATATTATTGTTGCAAGCATACCCCTATACTCTACACCCTAAACACAATATAACCCCATTTCTTTTCCATTATCCTTACAACCCCTATATAACCCTAAGGGCCCAAGGACCCAAATAATAGGGCCTTACGGCCCAAATACTACAATATCAATGGTATTTGGGCTCTGTCACACTATTATTTGGGTCCTCGGACCCTTAGGGTAACCCATATAAAACCCCAAGATATGTCCAGGCCCGAGCCGCCGTGCTTGCCGCTGTAGGCCAGGCATCCGGCGCCATCGGAGGACTTCTCGGAGGCAAAGCGGTGCCCTGTCTTTGGTGGGGACCGTCCTGCAATGCTTAGGGTTTAGAGTTTAGGAAGTTTAGGGTTTAGGCTTAGGGTTTAGGGTTTAGGGCGCTAATTTCTCCGATGAACGGGGTGTACCAAAAGTTAAGCTACCAAAATAATTCCTCGTTTGGGTTTTAATTGTTCAAACACTCCGCAGAAGCAAATGGCTCGTGCCCTTATTTATTTGCCATATGACTCAATCTGCGCATACCCACAACCTAGGGAAGGCCAAATACTTAATCAGGCATCTACATTTCCACCCTTCTCTGGGGACATCATCAGACCACAAGACACACATGCATGTATGTGTTTTGGGTAGCTTTAGGGGTCTTCAACCCACCCTAGCCATTAGTCAGACCGGACCTCCGTCGAAAAGAATGCCCAGGCATGAGAAGCGTTCAAGTGCGCAACTCCTCTTCTTCCTAAACCCTAAACCCTAAACGCCACTATGGATCCTCAGAATCCAGAGGGGGTTGCTTATATAGGGGATTATATGGGGAATTGCTATAGGGGTGATTGAGGGGATACTAGGAGTTTAGACCACTTTACCGAGCTGCAATGTAGGGCCTCAATGAGTAAACTAGGGGCCTCGAGTCACAAATTATTGTGGTTAACATCAAGAGTTTGAAAGGAACAAAAATAACAAGAATGATAATGAGGAACAAGGTCATGGCGCATGCCTCTATGGGGTTAAGGGATAGCTAAATGCGGATTGCAGCTTTTCCAAAAAAAGGACCTCCAATCTTCGGCTGGAAGATGGGCGTGTATGCCTGCAGAAGCGCAGTAGCAGCGTAGTCGTGGTGGTGGTGGTCATCATAGTAGTAGTAGTAGTAGTAGTAGTAGTAGTAGCAGTAGTAGCAGCAGCAGCAGCAGTAGTGGAAACAGCAGCCGCCTCCTCCTCCTCGTGGTGGTGGTGGTGGGCATTTCCACACGTACATTTGTGTGTATTCGTATACAAGTTGTATACATATGCTACATATTCTGCTGTCTGGAACTCACGGTTTGTGACTATTGCATCTCATCATTTGCCGGCATTTGTTAGGCTATGTTGAGGGGTTGTGCGAGTGTTTATGGTATCAAATGCCGAAAGCACACTAAACCCGAACCCCGAACTAGGAACTGTGAGAGATGCCTCATGCCATTGTGACTCTGTAGATTATGTCGAACACAAAATCCCTGAACCCTACATCTTAAACCCTAACTCCTACATCCCAAAATTCTAAGCCATGGATCCCAGCCGTACAAGCTGTCCCTTCTGTAGCAGGTCTTATTGGTGACCGCCTTTCTGCCTGCTGCCCGATGCATGGCCGTCCGACCACGGCACAGATCTCCGTCCTGCAGAGGGCTGAGCATAGGTTTAGGGTTTAGGGCTTAGGGTGTTTCCATTCTTTTCCATCATCCCAACATAACCCCAATACACGATAGTAGTTTCCATTTTTCCATTATCCCAATAGAACCCCAAGATATTATAGTAGGTTCCATTTCTTTTCCATTATCCCAATATACCCCCAAGATATTATAGTAGGTTCCATTTCTTTCCCATTATCCCAATATACCCCCAACATACCAGCATGGGTCTGGTGTTGAGGGTTGAGGCGGTTTCTGGATTTGGGATCCCGGAGTTGGCCAGACAGGGGCCGAAGGAAGACATGTGAGCCTTGGTCTAAACCCCTTAAAGGGGGCCATATAAGGGTGATGATATTTAGGGGGATACTAGGAGTTTAGGCAATGGCTCATGTGGCAATGACAGGTACACGTTCTGCCTTCAAAATCACATGTTGGGGATCCCTATAATCCCCTGTAGTTTCCATTGTCTTTTCCGTATCCCAGTATATGACCTCGATATCGGGGTATTGAGAATCCATCTTACAGTAATTGTTTTGGGCTCACCGAATGTGTACATATGCAGCTGATGCCTTTAGAGCAACGTAAACCCTACCCCCATGGAAAGCCAGCTGCGAGATTCGCAAAAAAGGTGTACTCCTAAGCACACCATGGACTTGGGGGCCAAGAAGGGGATGAGCGGGTCCCTCATCTTACTGGGTCACTTAGCACAGAAAGCAGGAGTAAGAGATGGAGGCATCCATTCCTATTCCAAAATCAGGGTTCCTTTGTGTACACCCAAACGTTTTCAATCCTGAACACAGGTCCCCTCATGTTTTAAATATTCTGCGGACCCCCTTCCCCCCAATCTTCGCTCCCACCCTTACATTACTTGGAGGGTCAGGGCGACTTAGTAAGTAGGTTAATAACCCCTATAACCCATATAGTAAGCCCATTTGTCCCCATTATTAACCTACTTACTAAACCCTAAACCTTGAACCCTAACCCCCCTTAACTCCCATTAGTTCGAGCCGAAGGTGTGGCATTCCGGTGGCCTACTGCATCTTCATGGTTGAGCCACCAGAAGGCTATCGGATTGAGGGTTTAGGGATTTAGGGTTTAGGTATTTAGGGATTTAGGGATTTAGGGTTTAGGGTTTAGGGTTTGATTGTGGTTGCGGGCTAACCCCCCCCCTATTGTCACTACTGCTACTATTACTCGTTCAAATCCCTGGTGTTGTTTAGTCATAGTCATTAAGGGTGCCCCCCTAAATATGAAAATAAGTGATGAAGAAGATCAACTCCTTAGGAATCAGAAAGAGTGACCCTAAATAGACTTGAAGCTCCAGACTCTAGACTCTTAGGACTTCAAGCTATCCACCTTAAACCTAAACATTTTCAAGCTTGAGGGCTGCTGAATTTGGTTGTTTAGTTTCAGGGTATGTTGAAGCACAAAATCGGCCGTGGCTGAAACGTAGTCTTTGACCCCCAGTCTGCTTATGGCAAATGTTTACAGTGACCCTGGGGAGGCTTATCCATGAAGAGCTCTGATTACTGCATTTCTTGTCTTACTATTACGTTCACGACTGTCCAATTCTTGCCATTCTAAGGGGTTCAGAGTTCAGAGTGTAGGGTTCAGAGATTATTTTGGTGGAGGGTGGAAGATGATCAAGGGCACCACGCACCAAGCTAGATTTGCATCACTTCTTCCACCCAGGTGAGGCTGCCTTCTACTACTACTTGGGGCAGGCAGCTTAACTCGGCCCTTGGTGGCTGTGGGTCAGTTCCGTACTGATTCGCGCCTGACAAATTGATTTTTTATCATAGCAACTGCATCACGCCAGCATGGCAGCGCAGCATTACAGATGTGGAGATGTCCAAAGCTTGTTGGGTTGCTGTCATTGCAAGTCCCAACAAAAAGCGCATGCAGGGTGCCAGCCCACAGTAACTGCTTTCTGCAGGAAAGAGTTGGCTTCGCTCGACTGAGGTTGGTGATTTTCCTGGGCCTGACGGCAACCTGGTGTCAGTGCCTTAAGGGAGTCTGTCGGATTGCTAGGCCTTTGGCTAACCCTAAACATAAGCCCTATATTCCCAATATAACCCCAATGTAGTAGTCTCCAATAGCCCCCATTTACTATATACCCCCATATAACCACCCCTATACGAAGTACTACCAGCACCACACAGATATTGGCTCGGGGAAGCCGGCTTGGGTTAAAACTTGAGGGAAAGGGCTTGAACTTAAATAGGGTTTAGAGTTTAGGGAGAGATGAAAGCAAGAAGGCTCAGAACACGCCAGCGGCAAGTTGGGTTGAGGAGGGGGTTTGTGGCGGCGGATGTATGCACTGTGAATGAAGCTTCAATATGCAGCTTATGTAGGAGTTATTACTGAGGTGGTGTCGGGGTGAATTTGCCAATTTTAACCGAGATCGCAGGGAGCCCGGACCATGAGCATCACCACAAAGTCCTGAGCACTAGTCTGTGGCCAAGGTGCGTCCCGAAGGGAGGTCTACGATCCTTGCATGGGAGTCGGCGCTGGAAAGCACCTTTGCAGCTATCCTTGGCAACGCCATGGTGCCTCGCCAAGAACTGGCCCCTTGGAACTCTTCCCGTAGAACACCATGTTAAGGTTGGCTTCTTGGCTCAGAACGTGTTTGGATACAAGCCGTGCCCTCAGTACCTGCCAGCTGCGCCGACAAACTCGCGCTACAGGTCCAAGCACCCAACTACAACATACTTCGCCGAAAACTGTAGTAAGGGTACTGTTACCCAAGCTCCAAGTACTCAACTACTGAGACCCTGGCAGATCCCTGCTTGTTACTGAGCCAGGATTGACGAGGCACACAAGGAAGCCGCCTCAGATCCCGACAGCCGCCGTGCGCTGGGGAAGGTGGCCATAAGCTCTTGAGGATCCTTCTGCATGACTTCAGTATGCTAGACTACCATAACTCCCAAGGAATAAGGTACTCAGGATCATGGAGGAGCTTCAGATATAATACTCCCCTATATAATCCCCTATATAACCCCAATATGTAGTGGTTTCCTTTTTATTTTCCATTATCCCTATATGACCCCAATATAAACCCTATATAATCCCCTAGTATCAACCGGACATGTCAGCCAGTGAAGCACCTGTCAGGCATTGACCCTCACTTGCTTCACACCGTGGCTTATTTGCTGGTCGCTGGCCTGATCAGTGTTCTGGGTTGCTGTTAAGGAACTTGAATTAAGTTACCATAATGGGTATATATAGTAATTAATATGGTTCCCACAATATAGTAACTTAAAGTAAATTCCTTAACAGCAACCCAGTGTTCCTCTGCCCCCAGGGTGGCTGCTTTGTGAATTGAGAGTAATGAGGTTTGCATACACCCTTCTCCACTGGAGCTACCCGAAGGACCTGAAGCGTGTCAGGTCTGGTGCTGCCTTGCGGGCATACACCCAATCATGAACACGCAGCCAGAATTTGTGCCAGGGATGAGAAGATGAAAGACAGGAAGGAAGCCCGGATGAAGAAGCAGCAGGAGCGTGAGGAGGCACCAATTGTGGTGGTCTTTCCTGTAGGTATCAAAGGTGCGCCGCGCGATAAGCCTGAGGCATTTCTAAATCCCCACTGGAAATCTGGGAGCGTATCAACACAACCCCCAATGTAATCCTGAAGAGGTAGTGCGCATGCTACCTTGATACACCCTCGGGTCTTACATGAAGTAAGCCTACCCTACTGAAAATTAGTAGGGAATAAGAGAATACAATCTCCACATAATCCCAGAGAAATCTCTATATAATCCTTATATGATCCTCATATATCCTCACATAATCCCCCTTTAAGAACCCCCAGTAAGTTACAGTGAGACAGGCCAAGAAGGCTGCCAGAGAGGCAGGCAAAGCACAGGCAGTAGCTTTTGAGGAAACGCCACCGATGCCCCACAAAGAGGTGGGAACATGTGGCATCACTTGAGCTACAATCTAAACTCCTTAAAGGGGGTTTATGTCGGGGATTATCTGGAGGACTATTACAGGGGGTATTAAGGGGGATGCTAAGAGTTACTAGCGGATAATGAGAGGCTTCAAAACGTAGAGACTGTTTTGCAACATCTGGTGCGAACCTGCGTTGAACTACAGACATATCATTCCAGTCACAGACATCAGATGGTTCCTTCACAGGTGGAGGGCGCGGATGAACCGCCTATGGCAGGCACCGTGATTTCTGTGTGAAGATTTTAACAAGAGCCGCGGCAACGCACAGCTCTTCTCCTTGTCGCGCGAAGCGGGACAAGCATAGATTTAATTTGCAAGCGCGTTTGCATCTTAGTGGCAGGTCCCTTGCAGATTCGTTGCTATGTAGCACAGCATGCATTGCACAACGATTCTTCAAAGGGCCAGCTGAGCATGACTGAATTTGCAGCTCAAGAAGCCGTTCCATGCACCCGGATCCGAGCTCTCTGGCTACTACTCAGCCAGTGGTTGCTTCTCCGGCACAGGGCAGCTGCTCACAGAGTAAAGCTTGTGAGAAGTTGGCAGAATAATCACACCTTGACATCGGTGTCTGCTAGCATAGCAGACGCACGAGACGTCATACCGATGCAAGGGTAGCTGACGCGACCCCTGACAGCAGGAGGGCGCAAATGCGTTACCGCGCCTTGCCATGCGCTGCTGTCCTGCTCTGAGTTGCAAGATCCCAATAGTCCGTTGCAACAGCCTCACCTTATGAACCCAAACAAGCGACCACGAGAAAGGGACCCCAAATTAATTGCTGGAAACACCCCAACATCAATAGTTCCCTCCGCTGGCTTCCTGGCTACAGTTCAGAAGCATGCTGTCTCACACTACAGCTAGCTGGCGAGTTTCAATGGCTGTCAACATTCACCCGCGTGTTTCTAAGAGCTCAAGCCAAAGATCCCTTAGTCCGAACACCACCTTCAATAAACCTCAATGATGCCTCACACCTTTGACCTATGTGTCTTGGATTGATATGCAAAGGTAAACTCTGTCCCTTGTCAGCATGGGGTTTTCGGTTTGGAGTTTATGCTCGCCACTGTGTTATAAGGACGCAGACGCAGATTAGCTTCACCCAGGTTTCCCCACAGCCTTCTCCCACAACAATCAGGGTTAAGGGTTCTTTACAGAGTCTCGAAATGGCATCCTTACAACTTCATCATCATCCCTTCTCAACCTCAGGGTCTCAAATCTTACTTTAGGGTGTAGGGTTTTAGTATAGGGTATAAGGATAATGGAAAAGAACATGGGTACTACTGTTTAGGGTTTAGGGCTTAAGAATGGTCCGGCATTCATTCAAAAACGCATCTACTGGCATTGCTCCGGCAGCAGCTGTTCTGGCCTCAGTTGATGTCAGGGGTTTTCAAAGCAACGCTAGATACTGGGTTGCTGTTCAGGAACTCAATTTAAGCTACTAATTATGTTTGGGAAATCCTTTTATTTACCATAAATACCCATTATGGTAACTTAGTTTAAGTTCCTTAACAGCAACCCAGGATAACGTCGAAGACGAGCCTGTGTAAGCTCCTCCTGGGAGTTTATCAAAGTAACTGTGCTCTAGTCGCAAAATTAGGGGTACCTTTTCGGTGTCCCCATAATAAGGATTATAGTATTTTGGGTTCTATATTGGCCCCCCCTGTTTTGGGCAACTACCATATCTACAGGATATTTCACGAAGCTTAAGTATAGCGGGGTCCCTATGAAGGATTGGTTGTAGGGGGACATGGGTGGCTTTTTTGAGGCGCTTGGCATTTTTGCCCAGCTCCAGAAGAGTTGTGTCCCTCGCTGGCTGTGCTGTCATTTTCTGAATCAACCTTAGATTGTTGTAGGGAAGGGGGACCTGAACAATTCGCTGTTCATTTCATAGAAGCTATAGTCTGAACTCCTTAAAAGGGGTTATATAGCGGAGTGTATAGGGGATTATATTGGGGGTCATTAAGGGGGATGCTAGGAGTTGAGACCCTAAACCCTAGACCCTAAGCCTCAATCCCTAAACCCTAATCCCTAAATCTTAACCTATAGCCCACATGCATCCACCTATCCTTGGGACTTCCACCGCTTTCAGAAAATTCTCAGTCCTGCAACCTGGAAGCCCAAAACTCTATCCCGTGAGTATTGCGCCCACTCTGTAACCCTGTAACAGTTGGACAATATGTATAAATATATAATGTAGTTAGATGAGGGTTTCCCAGAGGTACCCCTTTGGGGGTCGCAATAGGTCTATATTGGGGTCCCCGTATTTGAGCAACTACCACAAATGGGCCCCCTAGTATAGACTGTTACAGGGCAGTACCCAACCTAAACCCCAATCCCTGTCCCACACCCTACACCCTCCACGCGTGCAAGGTGCAAGCTTTGCCGGCAGAAGATCGCCAACTCTTCTTGCGAACTACCAGTCCAGCCCGCAGCATTGAATGGTTTTCAGGTTAAGGAGTTAGGGGTTTAGGATTTAGGGTTTAGGATGTAGGGTTTAGGGTTCAGGGCCCCGGGATCCAGGCCTTAGGGTGTCTAAAACCACTTGCTTCGGAGTTCTTTCACATGTGTCCCATGCAGTCCCCCGAACGGTCTCACCATCGTATCAGAGCTTCGGGCTTAGGAATGTTTAGGGTTGAGGTTTCATCACCACATTCGAGTTTAGGGCTTAGGGATGTTTAGGGTGCGCATACCCGCGGCGTAATGGAGTTCTCACATCAGGAGTACAACAACTGGGAGTTCTTAGAGCCCTTCCATGTAATCCCCATTCCATTTCCAGAGAAACCTAGAACACACATGAGTTCCATTCACATAACCGAAACAATTCATTCGCAAGAGCAAGAACTCACAATTATGTTCTACATAGACGCCAGATGCTTAGTCAAGTTGTACAAGTGCTCCCGACGCCCAAACCCTAAACCCCTAAACCCTAAACCCAAAGCCCCAAACCCTAGATTCATCCCAAAGATTCAGTGAGGCCAGGAGTCTTTTACCGGCCGACGGCATCCTGTTCCGCGGACTTGCCTTAAATACAGCCAGGGGCCTTGGACAGTTTGGGTTTGGCGTCCCATGGCAAAACGTAGCAGTCCCGCTTTAAGATTCTGACTTTCTCTGGAGGCATGTGTGTTTCTCAACAGAAGATCCAAGCATGGCACAATGAAGGGGAACTTTGATAACTTGGGTTGCCATGATAGGTGTCCTGGGAGTTTCCCAAAAGAAGGCCAAAGCAATCCGTAAGAGGGGCCACCGTCCATCATCCCATGGGTTGCGTCCCTAGCTTAGGGTTAGGGTTTAGGGTTGGGGTATTTCGAAACTAGAGTCCCCTATTTTATATGCCTGACCCTCAAAGATTCTTCCCAGAAGTTTCCATTTTCTGTTCCATATATTACCCCTAAATCCTCAGAAAGGTTTGAGAGGTCTTCGCCCCCAAGCCCAAAACCCTGAACCTCAAAGCTTAAGCCGCAAAGGTAGCCAAAGCTTGGGCCAGATTCTCAACCTTGGCAAACAGCGTGCCCTCTGCCATAGCTCCTGTTGCCATGTCTTCCTGGTTCTAAGTAGGGAAGATAAGGGTATGATGTAGGGATATATTATAAAACCTATATAGGGATATAGAAGTTAGTCGGAGATCGTGAAAAGAAAATGGAAGCTACTTTTATGGTTTCGGGTCTAGGGTTTTGTGAGGGATGTGGAAATACATTCTATAAGCATTATATAAGGGGTCATATTCCCTTATTCTCTACTGACCCCAGTAAGATCTAGGGTTCAATGCTTGGGCCGCTTATCTCCTTCCCTAAACCCTAAACCCTAAACGCTGTGCCCTGGCCTTGCTGAAATCCATTCTAAACCTGGATTGGCAGGTGGAAAAAGGCCCGATAAAAAAACAAAAAAACAACGGTGTATGCAGGTACCATACTATGTAAGCATTTTATAGGGGTTATATTCCTTTATTCAGTAAGATTTAGGGTTTTATGCTTGGGCCGGTTATTTCTTGGGCCTCCCTAAGCCCTAAACCCTTGGGCGTATGCAGGTACCATACATGCGGGAGTTCCCCTGAAAGTGGCCGAGCTGCGCCTCGTCAGCACCCATGATTTTAGATCCTCTCTGTCAGCAGAAAGTAGGGTTTAGGGCTCAAGGCTTAAGGTTTGGTAGATTCCACAAAGCGGGGAACCCCTATGTGGACCCCAGTACATATATCATGTTGTTTTTTTATTGTAATTATATGTATAGATTAGAATCCTTATTATGGGGAACCCCAAATGAAAGTCCTGGAACCTCCCTAAACAACCATACAATCTCCATTCTTGGGGTAAAGTCCTGATATGCCCTACAAACCTCTCAGCGTTGCTTGGCAGGGCGCAGCGAAGCATGTGCGAGTACACCTCCAACTTCCGGGAGAACCCGCTGCTGGGAGCCAGTGTGCTTCCTGGCCTGCTTTGTGTCTGAAATAAACAGGATAATGAGAATATGGAAGGAATAGACCTGTGGTATGACTACCCGAGCTGAAGATGCTTTTTGCATGTAAGGTGTTTCTGCCATGGTATATTATTTAGGTGGACCCCCACCCTGTAACAGACTAAATGGGATAGTACTGATTATATTAGGGTCCCTCTCATATTGCTAGCATTCCACTATTACAGGGCAGGGTGTCCCTAAGCCCTAAACCCTAAACCATTATTACGTAGATGTATGTACCACCCCTTGGCCTCTGCAGTTGTTTCACGTTGAGGCATTGACCGCCAGCTAGCAGATTCCTTCCGGGAAGCGAACAGGCGCTGCCATGGCCAGGTTTATTTGCGTTTAGGGATTAGGTTTTGGGGTCTAGGGCAGAAGAATGGAAAATGGAACTACTACAGAATTGAGGGTTTAGGGATGTTAGGGTCATTGGGCTTGAGTATTAGGTGGGTTAACTGCAAAGAAGTAGGGCTATTGTGTAGCTTGCAGGGATTTTAAAGTGTCCCTGACCCTCAATTTGGTGGCTAGTCGGGAAACAAAGAATGCAAAAGAACATGCAAAGACCATGGGTATAGGCTGTGTAGATGCCAGTAACGATAAGGGATCGTCTAAGGCTCTACCACTATCATCCCTAAACCCTGAACCCTATCCTTCGTTCCCTGCCCACCACAAGCAAGACGTTGCATGTGATTCGCAAGAGGTCGTCACAGCGGCTGGCAGCCATTCCAAGTGTCAAGAGCTCTTATGCTGAGGCCTGGCGATTTCCGCAAGGAACTGGAAGCTATCTGGTAGTTTCCATAAATGGGGGGACACCCCCAAATGCTATAGTCCTTCTTTTAGGGACCCCAAAATGGTACCTATAATTTTGGGAAATCCCCATCTCGGTCTACAATGCTTTTGATGCTTCCCACGTTCGTTCCATTCTTGCTGGGAGAGCCATGGCAGCTATTCATCACATACGGGGGCAGTGGAGCCAAGGGCTGCAGAAGCAACCGCAATTGCTGACAGGCCTTTGCGGATTTCAGCAAGCACCAGCGTCGCCACGCGTGCCTATGCTTTCAGACAGACTTAGCAGCAACGCACACCAAGATGACAGAGGTGGCGGTGTGGAGATTGCGTGTTTGACTTGCTTCGGTGAACCGAGTCGCCAGCCGCCCTGTACGCCACCAGCTGATAGGAGGCGTGACCAAAGCCGTAGCTGTTGACCTGCGCCCGAAGCTTGTAGGTGCTTAGTAGGGAATGGAGAAATGGATCCCTAGAGCAGTTATTATACTAATCTGTTGCAATGGTGCTTGTAACCCATTTCTCATTCCCTACTAACCACCAGTATGTCTATGTGTGCAAGATGTTTTCGATGTTTGTCTCAGGGCAGAGGACTCTATCGGCTTTGGTTCCTCCAAGAGCTCATTTACGAGGCCCTGTGCGAGGTCTTAAAGGGAAAGTGGGGCCTTCAAGGAGTTTCTTGTGATGTAATCCACCCCCTAGGTTTAAACCTCCCCCCCCAATATTGAATACTCCCAGCATAACATGATATACGCCTTAATGGGAGCATGTAATATTAGGGGGGGGTAATATTAGGGGAGGGGATTAGGAATGATTTCGAGAAACCCCTGGGTGCTTGGGCTGGGCCAGACATGTAGTAATCATAGTAATAATAATGCTGGGCTCTTGTAGAACAACATTTTACATTGTTATGGATACCTGGGCCCAATATCAATAAAGACAGATTTTTTAAAAATGTATTTCAGCAAGAACCCACTAGTAGTAATCATAGTAATAATGCTAGTAGTGATAATAAGATCAATAATAACAAAAATAACAATAATATTAGTCATAATAAGGGCCGGAGAAATGTGTCCCACAGAATTGGCCCTGGTGGTTGTTAGTAGGGAATGCAGGAAGGGGTCCCTATAGTCACCCCCCCTTTTTCATCATGATATGGGTTGTTCACACAATTCTGGGCCCCTTTGAATTATACATTATGTTACGGCACTTCATATATAGTGGTACCAAACTGGCAACCTAATTTTGGGAACTACCCATACATTGGTTTAAAAATTAAATTCCATTCCCTGCTCACAGTCAGCAGCGTCCCTAATCCCTAAACACCTGATACGCTAGTCTCCGTGCCCGGCCAGTTCGCTGTCTCACAGCAGCCACGGAAACCTCCCCCTGGACTTGGTGGAGGCCAATGCTGGGCCAATGATCAAGGACCTTCCTGCCTGATCCTGCCAGCGACTTACTGGTGGTCAGTAGGGGATTGGTTTTGGGGTATGATTAGGGGAGGATTCTACTACTGCATGAACCAAGTTCCTTAATTCCCTACGGACCACCACTAAGCCTCTACTGAACCCTTTCCAACCCTGACTGTTTGCCTTGTATATCAGGACCACTTAGGGCCAGCGGGCTCAGGCGTCAGAGGGGCATTCAGGACCAGCAATTTGTGGCACAGCCGCTTCTCATGACAGACTATTCATGCAGGGTTTAGGGTTTAGGGTTATTCATGCAGGGCTGGCGCCAGGACAACTTACCAGACCCACTTCAAGCCGCAAACTGCTCCAGCAAGCTATGCCCGGCCTGTCCGCGCAACGCATGCCGCCCTCTCATTGGCTGCGTGCAGGTTTGGAGGTAGGGTGATCAATTCTAGAGATTCCTTGCCACTTTTTTTGATGCTGCATCCTACTGGCGCTAGTTCCCCAGAATGATTTCTGCACACTTTCCATACCTACAGACCTACAAAAACAAGTTCATTCGACCCATCTGATTTCTACAAGTACTATTGCTACTACTATTATTATTACCATTGTAATCCCCACCTCATCTTGATTCCAAGGTCAAGTTCTCTTATGCAGAGCGGGCAGATCCGAGCTGAAATGAAAGGTTGCATTACTTACTGGGGGCTTTAGTTTCCATGTTCTGTTCCATTATCCCAAAATACCCCAATATAACCCTAATATAACCCCAATATCCTATAGTAGTTTCCATTTTATTTCCCATTATCCAATATAACCCCAATGTACTAGTCTTACATAGGGATTCTATTCCCTTATTCCCTACTCATCCCCAGTAAGATTATGAAAGCTATCCGGTTACAATCTGTGTAGAAGCATCATGAAGTGAACTTGAAAGCCCTCCCGTGTGTACATAGCATGCTTCTGTGGATGGAGAGTGGAACCCCAGCGCACACCGGACCCTTCAGATCTTGCAATGACCACGCTCAGTCCATGTCAGGCCAGCCCTGCTGAAGGCAGGTTGTCCCAAGCCTCCGCGAAGCGGAAACGTAGGCAATCCTGTGGTTGCTGGCCTTTGGCCATTCTTCTGGAGCTGCAGGATGAGGTAGTTTAACGTTCATTTAGCAAAACAGATCTGAGCACTGTAAGTTCGCTGCGAAATCAATTCAAACAGGGCCAGCAAGGGAGCAATTCAGCTTGACGAAGCCACTTGGTACCAAGCAATGCGAACTGTGGCGAGCTTGTCAAACTGTCGAATCCTTTATCAGTTCGTTCTAAATAGGTGGACTGTCGGCATTGTGTGACTTTTATTTACACGGGGAACCATGAATGGCAGATCAGCGGACGGCCATTGATAACTGCCCAATTGAGAGCTTACTGCACGATGGCGTCCCTGGATGCCTTCACCCTGCTTCTGGCTGCATGTTTGGCTGCTTCTTGGCTTTGGAACCCTCTTTCGGGGCATCATGCAAGCTTTAAGTGGTTGCAGTCTCGTGCATGTGGGTGTCATAGAGCATTGGCCAGTGTGCTTTGGGTAGGCCATTCTGTGAGAACATGTGGCCGTTGAATCAAAGAACCTGAGCTGATAGGGGAATCCTTGGCATAATTTCAGGGACAGCATAATAATCCCAGTTTCCATTTCATTTTCCATTTTCTTTTCCATTTGGTTCTCCATTATAGTAGTTTCCATTTTCTTTTCCATTACCCCAATATAACCCCAATATATACAACCTATTATAATGTAGTAGTTTCCATTTTCTTTTCCATTACCCCAATATAACCCCAATATATACAACCTATTAGAATGTAGTAGTTTCCATTTTCTTTTCCAGTACCCCAATATAACCCCTAGAGGGCTCCTGGGCTTCCTGCGGTTCGGTTTACACTAAACCCTACACGGTAGATTCCCAAAATAAGGGGACCCAAATATAGACCCCAAAATACTATAGTCCTTATTATGGGGATCCCCAAAATGGTACCCCTAATTTTGGGAAACCCCCACACCCCGAGCCCTCAAGAAGGCTTTGATAGCCTGTGGGCGCGCCAGCGACGACAGATTTGAGCCGTTTTCCCAGCCGGGCTGGCAGCACGGTGCTCGCCCCAGCGAGGAGAATAGCGACTCAAGCCGAAATTTGTGATGTTGGAAGGGTTTGGTTTCCAAGAATTAGGGGTTTAGGGTTTAGGGTTTAGGGGTTTCCAAAAATTAGGGGTCCCTTCCTTGGGTGCCACGATCATAGGGGAAACCTCCTGTTTTGGAAACCCCATGTAGGTTGGCCTTTACGCTGAGGAATATAAACCTTGATAGTTGCAGGGAGCCGCGTTCAGGGACACTTCTCGAAAATCTGAAGCCAAGCCAGTAATGTACGCCTGGCTTGACGTCTATGGCAGACACATCTTCACGTGCCCAGCTAGGGTTTGCAATACTAATGGCCCTCCCATAAGCTTCCTGCGTCGTGGGAAAGGGTATCTTCGGGGGGATGGTATTATAACAATATGGGGATAATGGAAAAGAAAATGGAAACTACTATAAGGGGGCTATGTGTATATATATATATAGGGATACAAGTTCCCCTCCAGGTATCATTGTTCTGCTTGCGCTTCGGCAGCGCAATCTGGATCTACTGGAAAGCAAGGCCAGGGCCGTTTCTGATCCCGGAAACAGGGAGTATGGCCGATACCTGGAAAGAGATGAGATCTATGGCATTGCTGGCCCTTGGAGATATGATTTGGATGTTGTGAAGCAATTCTTTGCAAATGTGCCGGGGACTCTGGAGTTCTCCTATGGGGGAGATTTTGCAAGATACACGTGTACTATAGCCTGCATCGAGAAGGTGTTCAACACGACGCTCAGATTTCAGACTGGCACGGTGGCTCCTGGTACCACGCCCATCCGTGCCTCTGAGCCTATCCAACTACCTCGAGAAATGCAGAATGCCCTTGAAGGAACGTCCCTAAATGCGCCTCTCTTCATGCCGCCTCACCCAGTCCCTGGGTCATCCTTGGATGAACATGCCCTTTTTTTTATCAGAACAGTGGAAGCCCTTATTCAAAGAGTAGCTAAAGCTGCTGAAAGCTGCCACTATGGGCTAATAGACCTTAAGGATACCATAATCTCCCCTTAATAGGGCCCTAATAGGGAATTTTAGGGTCTAATAGCCATAGTGGTCTGCTTCACAGCCAAGGTTCAGCCGACCGAGACGGCCTTCAGGTACCCGGCATCAGGCCGAACGGCACCTCGGGTGCGGCCCTTCATCATTGCTGGCGATCAGTTTGTTTCCATTCACTTTGTAGCTTACTGCAAGGATGAGAAGGTAAACCAAGACAGTATTCAGCATGGCATTTGTGCAAGCAGCCCGCACTCCGTTCTCATCACGGCCTTTGACATCATTGTCTTGCAGTCGCAAACCAACACCCAAAAGATTGTCAGGCTCCCAGCGGTTCCTGAGGTCATCGGCCAGAAGGTTGGAAAGACCCAGGATGGTCAACGCTGCGTGGAGTTTAATGCTACCTTGGGCAGTGTCGCCAACTATGCGAGCACCTCGGTCCTAGTCCGCTCGCTCTTCAGCGACGGTTCCGTTTCGGATTTCAGCAGTGCCGATGAGGTTCTGCCTGTGTGGCCTATGGCATACACCACTCCAGCACTGCTGTCGCGGAACTATGGCATCCCCATGCATGAGCCAGTGCGGCACCCTCGAAACAGCATTTCCGTTGCAGAGTTCTTGGGCCAGTATTACAACCCTCAGGACCTGGAGGCCTTCTTCAAGCTAATGGGTGTCCGGGCTTGGAGCACCCACGAGAAGCTCCGGCTCATTGGGGAAAATCTGCCCATGGCGGGCTCTGTCCTTGGGGGAGAAGCGCAGCTGGATATTCAATACATTACTGCTTTGGCTTCGAATGTCTCGACAATTTTCTGGAGCGTTCCATCGATTGAGCTAGCCACGAGGCAGGAGCCCTTCCTAGATTGGCTGATGCAGCTGGAGGACACAAGTGATGACAAGATCCCGCTGGTTCATTCCGTGTCGTACAGCGACGATGCATTGACCATGCCACGATGGTTCAAGCATCGCATCAATGCAGAGTTCATGAAGCCACTTAACTTCTCTGGTGCTTCCGTATTCTTCTAGTGGTTGATATTATGGAGAGTATACAGGGTTCATTTCATGTATCCACTCGCCCGCTTTCCTTTCCGCACCAGTAAGGCTGGCCCTCCGCGGCATCACTATTCTTGTGGCCAGTGGCGATGATGGCGTGAGCGGAAGCTATGTGGCCAAGTACGGCAGAAGGTACTGTGGAAGGAATCGGGAGGAATTCCCTTCGTCCTCACCATGGGTTACTGCCGTTGGTGGTACCCAGCTTGCACAGGAGAATGTCCCTGTCTGCGGCTACACATCTGGAAAAGTAATGGTGCAACTGGGTTGCTGTTAAGGAACTTAAATTAAGTTACTATATTGGGGAAACCCTATTATTTACTATATATACCCATTATGGTACCTGAATTTAAGTTCCTTAACAGCAACCCAGGCAATGCCCCGAGGATGGTGAAGTGGTCTGCACCTCGGATAAGGGTGGTGGAATCACTTCTGGAGGTGGCTTCTCTGCAGATTTCCCGCGCCCATGGTACCAGCATGAAGCCGTGGAGCACTACCTCCAGCAACAAGATACTGGGTTGCTGTTAGGGATTTAGGGTTCGGGGTTTAGGGTATATTATCCCCCTATAATGGAGAATCAAATGGAAAAGAAAATGGAAAATGAAATGGAAACTGGGGGACTGTAGGGGTTTAAGGAGCTTAGTTTAAGTTACTATATTGGGGGAACCATATTAAGTACTATGTATACCCATTATGGTAACTTAACTTAAGTTCCTTAACAGCAACCCAGGATAGCCCTGTGCCAGGGCAAGACGTGTTGATATATAATCGCTCTGGCCGCGCTTATCCGGATTTGTCTGCCATATCCAGCAACTACCTGGTGCTGATGGGTAATGAATTGCAGCCGACTTCAGGGACATCGGCTTCAACTCCACTCATTGCTGCGATGGTCGCTCGATGGAATGAAGACCGCCTCATGAACAGGCTGCCACCCCTTGGATTTCTGAATCCGATGATCTACCAGACCTTATCCAAGCATCCCAGTGCTTTCAACGATGTGCAGATTGGGGATACTGGGCTCTTGTAGAACAAAATTTCACATTTTTATGGATACCTGGGCCCAATATCAATAAAACAGATCTTTTTTTTAATTGAATTTCAGCAAGACCCAGGATAACCGCTGTTCGAGATCCGAGTGCTGCGATGTGGGCTTCAGTGCTGCTCGAGGCTGGGCCCCCATCACTTTGCCTCAATCCATCGCTTTTACTACAAAAACCAGCGATGGGAAAAGTCGAAGGGAGCAGTGCGAGAAATTAGTACCGAAGACAAGAATCCAAATGGTACGTACCACTGCTATGGTCACATGTCTGCTGGCCTCTAACCCATGTTGTGTCAGTGCCAAGGAACAGGATCATAGCCAGGCAGCACAAGGTCATTGTTGGGCAGGGTGATGGTGATGATGATGATAACGGGGAGGAGCTTGACTACAAAGATGATAATGGCAGTGCGAAAACAAGATCCTAAGGGTCCAAGTACCTAGACGTTGAGGCTTTCGGTGCCCACAACCATCTGGACATATTTAGATCATGATCTTTTTGGACCTAAAAGCGTTATAGCTTGTGTACTTGGCCCCCCAACCCTATACCCTCAACCCTAAACCCTAAACCCTAAACATTAAAAGCCTTGAGGCTGGGATGCTGTGAGCGGTGCCGGCTCACCACGCTTCGAAGCTATCGCCACGATCCTGCGTGAGGAGCCGTCAACAAAAGTAGTTGCAGTCGTCAGAAGGGTAATTATACACATATGTATGTACACATATATGGGTATATATATATATATATGTATGTATAATATGTAGTAGTAGTCGTTCTTATATCTGTTGTCATGCTTTGCGTACATGCCACTCTCGGGATGTTGTTCCCGTCTAGGTGCGCGCTAAGTGTGCGTTGCAATAGAAATCACCGTCACCGTCATGGTTGATGCCCGGCTGCTTGATCGCGCTCGTGCATGTGGACGTGAGACATATCCATGTAGTAGGCATTTCCGAGAATATGGGGCCCGCTTAAGAAAATGGTAGTTTCCCAAATAAGGGGGCCCCAATATAGACCCCAAAATATTGTGGTCCTTATAGTGGGGACTCCCAAAAAGGTACCCCTAACTTCGGGAACCCCCCAAATCCTTCAGGCTTGCTAGGGACTTCTCATGAGGACCTCTACTTTTCTTACAAAAGCCACTTAGATCGGGGCTTGCAAGGAGGCGCTGTTGGCCTTTGGCGGAAGGTTCACACGAATGGACATGGCCCCGATCGCCATGGCCGAAAGTGCGACAGCAGGCATCTCTTCCATGTGAAGTAATACCCTCCCCGCCTATTGACATGTATAGTTGGTAGTTTCCATTTTCTTTTCCATTTTCCCCTATATACACCCCAATATTATACCCTATATAGCCCATTTTGGTAGTTGCCGTTGAAGTTGAAGGATTTAGGCTTTAGAGTTTAGGCGTCCGGGCTTGAGCCTTTCATGTTTGAGGTGTTGGTTTCAGGATTTTGGCTGTAATCTGCTCAGCCCGATAAAGACCACGAAAATGCAAATGCTAAGCCACATGGCATGTCCCGTTTCACTGAGCGCAAGGTCCGTCCGTGACCGCCAGATACGATCTTCCGGTCAGCCTGCTTTTCCTCTTGGCTGTACAGTCTTTGGCGACTGCGCTCGTAGGGGCCACAGCGCAGAGCAGGGTTCAGGTTATATGGTCTTGGGGATGTATAGGATTGACTGAGGGTCCATAGTCCCCCTCAAGTAGATGGAACATGGTTTGGGTATATATAATGAGATCCACGTATGCCCCTTTTTCTATACCCTGTATAAGCCATTTTAGAGTAGCTTCCATGTTCTTTTCCATTACCCTTATATAACCCCAATAATATACCCCATATTCTATCTACTTAAGGGGGGACTATAGGCTTGAAGGCGGGGGAAAGCCTAGTCAAGTGCTTAGGTCACTCTGGCTGGTGTGTGCCTTTGGGGCCAACGGAGCAAGGCTTTGGGAAGTGCCAGACGTCCGCTGCTACAGCGGCTTGCTTGCAGACCCCGGCCCACTGGAACTCATAAATTGGATGGCCTTTCAAGGAACTTAAACTAAGTTAGTATAGATAGTAAGTGAACCCTATGATTCATTCACTACATACCCATATCATCGTCATTAGATCTAAGTTGTGCCTGAAACTTGCTGCATCTTTTAGCTCAAATCTAAGGAGCGCGGCATGAGGCATTCTGAATACACACCGTATGTACAGGGGTATGGGGCCAGGGCGCCCGAGAAATTTTGAAAGGGCGAGCTGCAGAATAGCGGAGGACTGCGCGTCCTCTGCTCACACCCATATGGGGTTTCTCAAAAATGTCTCCTACATGGTCCCTAATAAGCAATTCCAAAATCCCGTTGTAGTCCCCGCATATCCGTACAGGATTCCACAGGTACCTTTCAGAAGCCCCCCATATCTCTTGATGACGGGCCTGTCTCTTGACTTGCAGAAGCACGCGGGGACGTGCCAAAGTGCAAGTGTATTAGTCAAAAAGGTCCTTTATCTTTGGATTCTTGGAAGCCACTCGGAGCTTTTGCCGCGTTGGATGTGTCATCCTGTCGCAACGTTTAGCAGCCTTTTGCCCGTGAGAGCAGACAGAATCGACAGCACGTGTGAGACATCCCCAGTCCTCTAGATATTCGAGCATTCAACACAGCCTCCATGTTTTGGGAAGTACAGTACTGCTTGTTGCTTACATCAGCGCTTCGTTTTGCAGATTTACCCGGCTCTTCACCGTAGGTGTCCAGGTGCATGGCTGTCCAGCTTCTGGAGGCAGACTTGCATGTAGCACAGTCTGCTGTGACTTGCTCCAAGGCACTCCAAGTCGCGAAGCAATGTTGCTTGAAAGTGCCCGATCAAGGTTGCAAACAATGTGAGCGGCTCATGTTCTGGCAGCTCTTCTGTTCAAGGGGCTTGGTAGTCAATGCTTCATGCAACTAGTACGCCATGGCGAGCTTGGCGATGCAAAACCATGAGACTCCCCTGGACCTTGTAGCCAGGAACTTGAAGAGCGAGAGGGTGGAGTCAAGATGTGGAGCCTTGCGCGAGCTTGGCAGAATGGGCAAGCGCATGACGAAGAGAGACATCGAACAATCCCTAGTCCCCATGCTCAGTGACTCTGATGCAGCTGTTCAGGAGCATGCTCTCGTTGCATTGAGTGAGCTGCAAGGCCGAGCTCTCGACTATGCACCGCTGGCAGCTACAAAGCTTGAGCAAAGCCGAACCAAAGAGGTCAAAAGGGCTGCCTTGCTTGCCTTGGGCTCTATGGGACCAGGTGCAGCCTCCCAGGCTGGGTCTGCTCTGTCCTTCCTGAACCATCAGGACCTGGACCTTGTTGTGGACGCTTGCTCCGCACTTGGAAAGATGCGTGCTACCAACGCTGCGGATGCAGTCAGCGCCAAGCTCTCAAGCTCCGACACGGATGTTGTCTTCGCGGCCTGCATGAGCTTGGCAGAGATGGATTGCAACTTGCAGGATGTTGGAAAGCTCCTGAAGCATTCAGATGCCCGTGTTCGATCTGCCGCAGTCAATGCGGTCAAGAGCATGACAGGCGCAGAGAGCTTCTCCTCCGAGATTGTGCCGCTCCTTTCAGACTCAGATAGTTATGTCCGCCTTGGAGCTGCAGACTATGCGTGCAGACTCGGCCCGAAGGCGGCAGACTTAGCAGTGCCAGCCGGCAAGTTGCTTTCGGATTCCAAGCCGGGAGTTGTGGCGGCTGCCGCAGCTGCCCTGGGCGGCATTGGAGAAAGTGCAGCTTCTCAAATCCCAGCTTTAGAGCAAGCACTCCGCAATGATGGCGAGGACACATCCACGCTGCCGCTAACAGTGGCCGGTGTGTCGCCAAAGCTAGCGGCTTTGCTGCGGAAACCAGCTTGTGCGGCAGCAGCGGCACTCGCAAACATGGGCAGTGCTGGTGCCACATCAGCGGCGAGACTAGTAGAGTGTCTGCATGCAAAAGACTGGGAGGTGCGAGTAGCAGCCTTGCATGCACTGAGCAAGATGCCTGCAGCAAGCGCTCGCTATGAGTACCACATCTCGGACATGCTCCGTGATGAAGCGCCCCCAGTTGCTGCAGCCGCTTGCTTGGCTGTTGGGGAGATTGCGGCTGCCACGGGCCAGGCCAACAACTCTACTGCGCGTGTGGTTGCCGAGCTCATGGAGCATCCGCATCCGACTGTGCGAGCTCGGGCAGTCCAAGGGCTTGGAATGATGGGTGATGAAGCCCATGCGCACGTGGAGACCTTTGTGGCCTTGTTTGGCGACAGGGCTTGGAATGTGCAGGCTGAAGCTATCCGGGCAGTAGCAAAATGCGGGGAGATTGGACAGATGTTTGCGCCAGACGTCTGCCGCATGACATACCAAGGGAGCTCCCCAGCTGTGCAGGTGGCAGCTTGTGAAGCACTCGCTCGGATGGGACCTAGGGGTGCCTGGGCTCTTGTAGAACAAAATTTTCTATTTTTATGGATACCTGGGCCCAATATCAATCAAAAAAGATCTTTTCTAATTGTATTTCAGCAAGAATCCAGGTGCCTGCTTCAAGGATGAAGTGTCCGCACTCGAAGACGACCAGTCAGAGGAAGTGAGAGATGCAGCAAAGAAAGCTCTCAAGTTCTTTGGTTGCTGTTAAGGAACTTAAATTAAGTTACCATAATGGGTTTAGTGTTTAGGGTTAAGGAACTTAAATTGACATACCATAATGGGTATATATAGTAAATAATAGAGTTCCCCCAATATAGTAACTTAAGTTCCTTAACAGCAACTCAGGTTCTTTGAGAACAGTGACAAGGGTGCCTTGGTGGATGGAGCACGGAAAGCTCTGACGGAAGAGGCGATCGAACCGGAGGAGTGAGGTGCCAACCAATGCTTGCTAAGGCTTAGGTGATCTTCCAGCCAAGGGAGAGGGTCCATCTTTTGGACTTGCGCAAGGTGTATTGGAAAAAGCAGCGAAATAGCATGCCATGTTGGGCTGCGGAGTCAGGAGTTCAAGCCTTCGCCATGAGTTTGTGAAACTTCGCGGTTACAGGTCATGTTGCAAACGCGGAGGAGGACGTCCAGGCTCCTGGCTCCGCATCTGCGCTTGCAGATTGTAATGTCAGCACGTGTGGGTTTCACAGGCACGCGGGAGCCCAGCCCACAGAACAATCTCTTACATGAGAAGCCCTGATTCAGTTCTATCCCACAATAAGATCAGATCATGCAGCATTGGCTTTCGGAGTGTATATATACATAATTAAAGCCTTCACTGAGGTTGCGGCAAGTCCGCGAAATTCCAGTCTTCATCCAGGCCAGATTTGTGCAGCAGTTATGTTCTTCCAGTGTACATGTAGCGCTGGATGGATATGTGGGTTCCCAAACATCAAGGGCATTTTAGGATCTTTTATGAATCCTTTCAATAACGATTTTGGTATAGATCCCGAGAGGGGAACGCAGCTATGCGCGGCGGCTATACATCAAATCTGCAGCCGGGCTGTTTCATTTGTACAGTGCGCAGTCATGGCGTGGACCTTCAGCAGCGGCAGCTGATTGAGGGGGGAAAGACAAGACATCCACCACTCCCTCGGTTGCGCTTGAAGCAGCTTCTGTTTGAGCAGGCAGCCGCAACTTGCAAGAGATTTGGTTGCTGCCCTGAATTGGCTCCTTCTGCATTCAAAACTGCAATTTCAACTTGCGTGCAAGCTTGGAAGGATATTTCGTTGCAGCAAAATGCCCTGTGACGTCTATGACCTTCCGTCACCTGCCCATGCTGGGTAGACATCCAACTTGCAGAGCCTGCACAGAGCCAACTGCCCAAATCACAAAGCTGTTGGCTTCGACGCCTGCGCAGAAACATCCCAAACCTTCCATGGCATTGTCTGACAGGTCTCGATGCTACCTGGCAGTCTTCAAAGCTCCATTGCTGATGTTTCGCTACTCTTTTAATCATTGCAATGACGACATGCCTGGGGTAGCTTTGTGTGGGAAAAGCATGCGAGTTTGCTTGGTGCAGTGTGGTGTTGCTTGCCTCCTCGTTGTCTCGCATATGGGCCTGCTGCTGCCATATCCGGTCAAACAGGTCCGAGCATGTCAATGTGCCCAGGCCGGAAGGGCGCCATGCTCCGTCGCTTCTTTTGCATCTGTGCGCTGCATGCCCATGGGGCAGACCTGGAAGCACTGGTGGTGGATGATGAGTGCAATGCCACTCAGAGCTGTAGCCTCACGGCTTTGCAAATGCGCTCGAGAGCGCGGCTTCATGAGGAGCTCTATCAAGATTTCCAGGCATCCGCCCACAGAGTGGAGAGAAAGGCCGGAGAATTGTAAAACAAAGCGAGATGTAGTGTTTAACCGGCTTAACCTGGACCCACGAAATCTCCGTGTAAACCTCATAAGAGTGCTGCTCCTTGAGAAGCCCGAGGTGTCTTTCATCTTCACATACGGGTCGGTGGCAACCAGCAAGCAGCCTCTTGAGGATCTCTCACAACCTACGCGGAGCTTTACGGGGCTCCGATGCTACACAGAGACACTTTCTCATCCCGGAGTTGTGAGGTTTGTGCTGTAGGGTTCGGGGTTCAGGCCTGTTGGGCTAAGTTGGGAATTGCTGTGGCTGCTATTCTTTATCAAGGTTTGGGGTATAAGGTCAAGAATCTTTTTTGAGAATCAGGGAGGTGGGATGCAAGGATCATGGAAGCGATTGCTGTATCATAGAGCCGCAGGGCCGAATGGCCACAAATAGTAATCGTACATCCCTAAGCCCTCACCCCTATGGTCCCCCTTAAGTAGATAGAATATGGGGGTGTATGGTGATCTTATTATAATACACCCAAAGCCATATTCTCTATACTGAACCCTAAACCCTGAATCCTACATAACCCCATTATAGTAGTTCCATTT